ACATATTCTATATCGGAAACTAATCCTTATTCCATGATGAATATAACTTAAATAAGAAATGATATTTAGATAGCTTTTCCCCAAAAAGCATTTTATTCTAAAAATCCAATTTAAATAAAAATAAATTTTAAATTATCCATTTTATTTTTAAAAATGGATTCTTTTATCCACCTTGCTTCAAACTCATTGGCAACCACTGGCATGCCAGTTTTGATCCATCTGATCTTCTTCCCTTTGCCAACTCAAGATTTGATGGAGAGGGCACTCAAGTAAGACGCCACTCTGCAAAGTCGCCCCTCAGCTCTGAGGGGGCAGATAAGCCCCAGCAGGTACCTGGCAGTGCTGACCCCCAACATCAACTCTACCTGTTGCATGCTGGGAAGATGCTCCCCCCGCCTCTGCTCTGGGTCTCCATTAAGGAGAGGTACCCATGACCCATTTTCCATGGCTGCAGAGTGTATCTTCCACACACACAGCCAGGTGATATGGAACTGCCGAGAAACCTGCAGGAAGAGCTGCTGATCAGCCCCTGTGGAGGTTTCACTCCCTGCTGCCTCCAAGGCCTGCCCTTCCTCAGCTTCCAATCAGTCCAATGTGGAGAAAGAAATTCAACCACCCAGGTCCGTCCTGTTGAATTACTTTCCGCCTCCCTCCTTTTCCACAGATGCCACCAGAAACCCCTCAGGCGAAGCTTTCCTCCATCACTGTACAGCCAGGCTAGAAGAAATACTGGCTGCTGAACCTGTTGTCAAGGCTTTTTAGGGTCCGAGGGTGCTGACAGAAAGGTAACAAATCTGGGAGTTAAGAAATAAAAGCAGATTATCAATAGGCCACAGATCAGTGGTAGAGTATGTGCTTTGCACACAGAAGTTCCCAAGTCCAATCCCACGGACAGGAAGGAAAGGTAGAGACCTCTGCTGAAAACCCTGAAAAGTGGGTCCTATTGATGAAGCTAAGCTAGAGCCCAGGATTACAACTTTCAAAAAGGAGAAATAAGGAGGGTATAAAACCAAAGTAAAGTGTTGAAAAGGTATGCAGACATAGGGCAACAGAAAACAAACTAACAAAAAACCTTTGCCGTATGTAATTAAAAGTTTGGAAAATAGAGGAGGTTCTTCCCATTATCCCTCAATGGTACCAGTGAGAAGCATTTAAAAAAAATCTTTCTGCTCTGAAATCCCAGGCACTGGATTACTTTCGACCTCCTTCCTCTGGCAGATTCCAGCTATGCACGTTTGCAACCACTTTGCTTTGGAGATGCAGGGTGAGTTTAAAAAATAACCCAGCCGCTGAAACCATTCCCATTGGGTTCTGAATACTGAGGCATCCTCAGTTTGGAAAATCTTCCTGTCAGTATGGAAGGGATCGGATTACTTCCCTTCCACTCCCCAGGCAAGAAGACAGGAGGGTCGCCTGTGAGGGCCATTCAAACTCCACAGATGGACTTATAAGGCAATGGCGTGGTGGCTGCCCCCCCCCCCCGCCGGACTGGCCAGCTTAGCTCACTTGTTCCACTGCTTACAAACACCGCAGGCCAGCAAGCACCACTGCCCACCCTTCTGGGCTGCTTACTTCCTACAGTTAATGAAACACCTCTGCCTTGGATAGAAAGGAAGAGAAGAGGAGTGGCAGGAGGAAGGGAGGAAGCGGGCTCTGCATGCTTTTCCTTCGTGCAGTTCTCCGCCGCCTCTTTCTCCCAGGGCTCAGCCTGGACTACCCTCTGGCCTTTCCCCATTTAAGTCAGAGAGGGGGTCTAAGCCACCCCCTTCCTCCTCCAAGTGCCAGGCACAACTGCTTTCCAAACTCAAGTCAGCTTTCACAGGGATCTCTCCTCATGCCAGTTCCCTCCAGCCCTCTTTTCTCTGAGCAGATGAAGTTTGCCTTCCTGGAGAAGCAGAACCCACATGAGAATCTGGCCCGAGGGGCTGGGGGGGGGGCAGGGGAGTCACGTCAGAATACAAGACGTCATGCATGGATTCCGTATACTACACAGGCCTGCCCCAGCTGGAGCTGGCCAGATGGGATGGACACAGCTACCTTGCCAGCGAGAATACAGGGAACATGGAAGATGCCAGTTCAACCTCTTTAGAGGACACCAGCTTGCCCAAGGACGGCCGGCAAGATGCATATGAGGTCTCTCCAGTTCTAGGATTCGGCCAAGACCAAGAAGGAACAAGCAGCACAAGGAGAAATGGGTCAAGTGACCCACGGACTCTCCAGCTCACTAAGCATCCTGCTAAACCAGCATGGATTGGAAACATCCTGAAAAATGCTTTCTTCTGTGGGAATCCATGCCTCGGTAGGCTTTCGTGGAAGGGAAACATTACACACTGGAAATCGGCCCTCTGCTGTTGATTTTTTCTCTTCCTCTCTTGGAAAATGGAGCCTCGCTGATTTAAAACATCGTAAACACACCAGACCACATGCACGCACCTCCGTACACACGCGCGCGCCTGCGCGCGCCCTCACGGCGGCTTGCACTTCAGCTTCTCCAGGCAAAGAGGAAATGGGCAGGGAGGCGAGGTGGGTCTCCGACAAACCGTCCGCGGAGGTGTCACCGAGCCCGCCCTACAGGAACTGACCTGGCCTTTGACGGCCGCCCGAGCGGGTCGACATCCGCGCGCCCTCCCCGCCCCACGCTGCTCCCCCACAGGCCAGCTCCCCGCCTTCCAACAAAGCAATCCAGCCCCGCGCATGCAAACCACGCTTCCCCGCCACACACCCCCGCTCCCAGAACCTGCTCCAGTCTGGAGGGAAAGGACACAGGGTGGAAAAGCTTTGCATGGTGGGTGTGTGTGTGCGTGTGCGCGCGCGGAGGGGGGTAGACAGATCAACTGCTCTTCTCCAAGAAGCCCCGGGAGGTTTGGGTGCTCTCAACCTGGCAAAGTTTCTCTTTTGCAAACGGGTTGGAACATGATCCGCTGCCACGAACACATCAAGATGAACAAACAGTACGAAAGCCAGTTCTACTGCAAGTGAAGAATCTTTGCTTCCCAGGAACCATGACGGGGTCCCTAAACCATCGCTTCTGCGGTAGTATCTAAGGCAGGGAGAAGCCCTAATAAAGCGGTAGCTGCTTTGCAAAACACAAGCCCCCTAACCGAATTCTGCACACCCCTCGCTTTCTGGACGCAGCACGTCCCTTGCCTTGTGGTTAGACCTTTCTTCTATGACCCTGCCATAACCACACACTGCACTGAAAAGGGGACACGCTTACACACACACACAAAGTGCGAGGTTTCTATTTGATCGCAAACCGCAGCTACCACTACCAGCCAAGAAAAAATTAACGTAGCCTTTAAAACACAAGTCTTTTAAAAGAAAGGGATGAGTAAAGGAAGGGGAAAGGCAAGCTGGAAGACCACCATCCCCCTATGTTGCCAGTCTTTCTGCCTTTGCTTCATGTCTTTCCCTCCTTTTTAACCTTCAGCATCTTCCTGATGGATCTTGCCAAAGCAACAAACCAAAAATCGCCTAGCTCTGTGAGCGCAGGAGTCTTTGCAAGATCTCCAAGCATGGCTCCAGGGAGAGACAGACAGACAGACAGACAGTGCGATTTGCTGTTTGTTGCGCGGGGGAAGGGTGTTTTTTTTTTTTTTTAAGAAAGCTAAGAAAAGGGAGGCTGGCTGAAGGGTAATCCTGGATTTATTAGTAGTAGGTCTATTAACGAGGTTGACTCCGACACAAACAGGAGAGGAGGAGGAGGAGGGGCAGGGGGTGTTGCTAAAAAGAAACCCTGCATTGTTAATTATGCAGACCCTCTGCTGTTTATGGCTGCAAGCTGGAGTTACTGGACGCGTCCTTTTGCCAATGTCAAAATAGCACCAGTGGCTCAATCGGCCTGGCTGGAGGGGTGGCGCGTTTTGTTGGGCTTTCTGGGGGCACTCCGTTTTGCAGAAAGCAAAAATTACGTATCGACAGGCTTAAAGCACTGTTTCCACCACCTCCCCTTCGGCATCCCCGCCAGACACAAGCCCGCGCAAAGCGGGCTTGCTCCCGCGGAACCGCGCCGAGGCTACAACCCAGACGGAATGGCTATTTTGCGCCCGCTTTGCCCGCGTCTGACACGCCGAGTCCGCCACCTCGCCATGCCTCGCCGCCCAGCCCGTGCTACCGTCAAGGGTTACGGGGGGGACACACCTCCAGGCGAACGTATTCTCTGCTAAGGGGAGGGGAGTTGGATCGCGCGGGGAGGGGAGGGAACAGCCCGATCCGGCTCAGGTTTACTCGGGAGCAAGCCGCACCGGCTTGCCAACGGAGCCGACTCTCCAGGAAGTGGCTTCTGCAACGCGATCCTTTGCAGCTCGAGCCGAAAGGAACCCCCCGCCCCCGCCTTGTGAGAGCGCAGCTTTCTCGCAAGGAAGCCTGCCCCGCACGGCAGTTTCTGCTGCCGGATCCCCACAGCACGTTGACTCTTCAAATAAGTCCCGCCGTGTTTCCGTGAGTGCACGCAAAGGGACGGCCGCCGCAGCTAAGCCGGTTTACTCGGAGTCAACTGCCTGGAGCGGGCTCTGCTCCCAGAGCAAGCGCCTCCAGCATGGCGACCCGATCCGGGGTCTGATGTGGTGGGGGGGGGCTTGCTCTTATTTCAAGGTAACGAGTCGGGGGAGGCAAGCCTGCTCCACGCGTATGTAGCCACCCCCTCCCCGTGGAATACGGCGCGGCTTACTCGCGAGTAAGCACAGCTCGGACCGCGGCACAGCCCGAGACCTTGGGCCAACTCCTTGCCAACCCCACATGTTTCTCCGCCCCCCTTGGATTTTAAGCAGATCCACCCCCCACCCCCCAAATGCTATCTATACACGAGAGAAGACTTTGAACAAAACACGCGCCGAGACCCTTAAGGAGCGGGGAACCCTTTTCCCGCGTCACCCCTTCCCGCAAAGAGCAACTTTGAAGCACGCCCACGCTTCGGGCATCCCTCCAATCCGCCCCCAGAGCCCCCACCACTTCGCAGCAGCCCCCTTTGCCCGGGAGCCCCGATCCCGGGAAGCACTCACCCATCTCTTGGGGCCAACCGAGCGAGACTTCGGGCTGCCTCTCGCCCTCTCTGCTTTCCGCGGCTCTGAAAACCGGACCGCGATGCGTGTCAAGGTCCGGGGCTCGGGGAGGCGTGTGCACGGGGGCCGCGGGACCGGGGAGGGGGCGCGGGAAGAGGAGGAGGGGTGGGGGCTTAGATTTTGGTCCCAGTCCCTTGCAAGAGCCCCCTAAGGTATTGCTCCTTCGGCTGCTGCTGCTTCTGTCGCTGGTTTTGGTGCACGAAAGCCATGGCGCTGGGAACTGTCAGATGGGGGGGAGCGAAGGACGGGGGGAGGAAGGAGGGATGGCTGTGCAGGAGACACACGCAGCACGGGGGGAGGGAGGGAGGGAGCGAGCGAGGGGGAGGGGGGAGGCCGGAGGGAGGGCGAAGAAAAGAAGGAGGCGATGCACACGACCACGAAAATAGGAGAGAGGTTTGCCCGGAGATGAAAAATGGCGTCTCTCAAATAATTAGGGGTGTGTGTGCGAGCGTGCGCATGGAAAAAAATCAAATTAAAAAATCACACATATGCCAAGGGTGCGGGCGGAGAGGGAACGCGATCGCTGCTAGTAATTACCGGCGGGGGG